TGCACATCATAATCAAATTTCTGGAAATCTTAAAAGCAGCCAGAGGCAAAAACCTACTATGTACCGAGAGACAAAGATGAAATCACAGCAGACTTTCCATCGGAAGCTATGCGATCCAGAAGGCGATGGAGAAACATCTTTAACATTTCGAAAGAAAAAACAAGCTTCACCTACGGTTCTGTAGCCAACACAGTGTCCTGCCAAAGAAAAGGCAAACAAACAAACAAACAAAAATTTCTTTTTCAGACATCCGAAAGCTGGAAGAATTTATCAGCGGCACACCTGCACTCTAGGGAATGCAAAGGACGTTCTCCAGTGACGAGGGAAATGACACCCACGGTCACTTGGGTCCAGAAGAAAAGTGCGCAGAAATGCAGGTGCGTCTTAAAGACTTTTGTCCTCCCGTTTTAAAGAGCCCTTTCGAAACAGTGTATTCTTCAAAGTAAGCGTAATGATGCCTCGTGGAATTTCTAAGTAGAGACGAGGCTTGACAGCACAAAGTGTAGGAATGAGGATGTGAAAACTGTTGTCAAGTTCTTAAAATGCATGCGATGTGTTGTTGGAAGGCAGACAGTGACGCAGTAGAGATAAATATTGTCAACCCTAGAGCAACCATTAAAAGAAAAAAAACAAAAAACAGAGGTGTAGCTAATAAGCCAATAATGTAAATAAAATAGAATCATTAAAAAAAATCACTAATCCAGGAGGAGACAGAAAACAAACAAACAAACAAACAAACAAACAAACCAATCCAGAAAGGACACATAGAAAGATGGTAGGTTTAAATCCAACCGTATTGGCAATGACATCAGATGTGGACAACCTGACAACTCCAAATAAAAGGCATTTTGTCAGAGAGTGTCAGATCAGATTAAAAAAAGAAAAAGTTACATAAACGTGCTATCCACATTAAACGTAAAGGCACAGAGAGGCGGAAAGTAGAAGGTTGGGAAAGGTGCACCTGCAGGCGTGAATCAGCACATCCCGAGTGGGTGAGCTACTATCAGCCGAGTTAGATTTCAGGACGAGAAACATTTCCAGGAATAAGGATGATCTTTTACAGGGATCAGTTCGTCAGAGAACATAACGTACGAAGTGTGCGTGCACTTAATAACAGTTTCAGAAGACGTGGAGCAGAAACCCATAGAACTGTACGGAGAAGTCGTCATCCACAGCTAGAGGTGGCGAGTCCAGCGCCCCTCCCCCACCGGCTGGCAGACGCACACGGGACATCAGCAGAGGTGTGGAAAGCAAACGGCGGCCTCACTCGGCCGTTCTGGCCCAGTCGATGTTTACGGAACGCTACATCCAGCAACAGCGGAACACGCATCCTTTGCAAATGCGCGTGGAACGTTCACCAAGAAAGACCATATTCTGGGCCATGAAAAAATCTCGAAAATGCAAAAGGATTGAAAACATACAAAGCATTTTCCTCTGACCAATGGAGAAATTAAACTAGAAACCAGTATTGGAAAGATAGCTGGAGAAATACCCAAATATTTGGAAACTAAATAAACACACTTTAAAATAGCCCCTGGGTCGGAAGAATTCACAACATTTTGAGCGAAAGTTAAAACATACTGTATCAGAATTTGTGAAATGCAGGCGAAATTCATAGCATAAAATGATTATATATGAACATAAAAAGAGTTCTCCAATCAATGATTTAAGTTTTAACCTTAAGAAAAAGTAAACAAAGGAAAGAAATAACAAAGAGCAGAAATCGGTAAAACAGAAAATAAACAAAAGGAAAAAAATCAATGAAACCAAAAGTTGGTTCTTTGTCAAGACCATGAAAGTGGACAAGCCCCCTCGTTAGATTTATCAGAAAAATTAAAAAAGGAAAAGGAAGAAAAACTACCAAAATTAGAAACGGGAGAGCTGTCACTACACGTCCTGCAGACGTTAAAATCCTGGTAAGGGATGTCATGAAAAACTTCATGCCAGAAAACTTTGCAGCACAGATGTAAATCACTAAAACTTATTAAAGTCAAAATAAGCCTGTTTATAAAAAATCGAACTTGTATATAAAAACCTTCCACCAAAGAAAACTCTTGGCCCAGATGACGTCACCGATGAATTCTATCAAACATTCAAAGGAGAAATAATACGAACTCTACGCAAAGTCCTCCAGGAACGGGGAGGGGACGCGTGTCAACTCATGCGGTGAGGCCGGCATCTCCCTGACACCAAAACCAGACAGGCTGTGGACCAGTGTCCTTCAGGAACTGTCCTTCACGAATTAGGAAGTTTTAGCAAATCAAGTCCAGCAATATGCAGGAAGCACCCCGCGTCACAGCCAAGTGGGATTTATCCCAGGATTGCAAGGTTGGTTTAACATTCAAAATCATTATAATTCACTGTATTAACAGACAAAAAAGGAGAAGCCACATGACCACGCCGAGGGTGGGGAAAAAGCGTTTGACGAACGTAATACTTATCCACGGTAAAAAAAAAAAAAAAAAAAAGTCCCGGCAGACTGGAGTGGAAGAGGCCCGCCTCGGCCCCGCAGAAGGCGTCTGTGAAAGCCCGTCGCTAACGGCACAGCGCGGGCCGAAGACTGGACGCCGCTGTCCTGAGGCTGCGGCCAGGCGAGGGCACCCGCCCTCCCCGCTCTGGTTCAGCGTTGTCTTGGAAACGTGAGGCAAGAGAGAGGGCGCAAAGACGTCCCGGATGGGGAAGAGCCGTGAAACCGTCTCGGTCACGCTGGCACGATGATTATGCGGGAAATCCTGGGAAATCTACGGAAAAGCTCCTAGGACTAACGGGTGAGTTTGGTGGGTTTGCAGGAGACAGAGCCACAGAACAGAACTCGTCTTATTTCTGTATCCTCACACTGAACGATTGAAAGCTGTCAAAACACCGTTTACAATAGCTTCACAAATATGAAATTCCTAGAGATGAATATAACCAAAAATGTGCCAAGAGAAATTTAGAAAGACCTAAGTAATTGGGGGGCTCGACCGTGTGCGTGAACCAGAAGGCCCGGCGTCACTAACGTGTCAGTTCTGCCAAAATGGATAGGTAGGTTGAGTGCAGTCACAATAAAACATCTCGGCAGGGGTTTCTGGCAGAAATTTACAGGCTTATTCTAAAATTTACATGGACACCCAAGGACCTAGAACTAGAGCCAGAATAATTTTGAGAAGGTAAAGACAACCTCGTTTTAGGACTCTGTGGCAGTGGCCATCTGCACGCGTCGTGGGACCGGAGATTGGTGTGCGTGGGGACCAGCGGCCTGGGCAGAGCCCAGAGTCAGACCCACACACCAGTCGGCCGCCCGTCAGCTTCCAGCCGAAGGGCCGATGCTGCTCCGTGAGGAAGCGATAGTATTTTTAACCCGTGGTGCCAGGGCGATCGGCCGCCCCTATGCGCAAACAATGTACCTGTGCCCTGCTTCGTCCCATTATAAAAAATTAACTCCAGTGGGTCACAGAACTGTGAAATGTGAAAGCTAAAACCATGAGACTTATAGAAGAAAACTGTGCTCCGTCCACACAGTGGAACACCAGTCGGTCTTCAGGAGGAGGGACGTCTGACGCCTGCTCCAGCAGGACGGACCTGGAGGCCACGCTCAGGACACAGGTCTGGCCCAGGACAAGCGCCGTGTGGGCCCGCTCCCAGGAGGTCCGCAGAGGGGTCATGTTCCCAGAGGCGAGAGCAGACGGCGGCGCCAGGGCTGGGGGAGGGGGGCTGGGCAGTGAGCGTTCAGTGGGGGCAGATTCCGCTTTGGGCCGATGGAATGTTCTGGAGACGATGGTGGTCGTGGTTGTGCCATACTGTGCATGTGCTCGAGGCCGCTGAACTCTACGCTTAAGAACGGTTAAGATGGTGAACTCTATGTATACGATGCCACAATTTATTTTTATTTTTTATTTATCTTATTGTTATTTTTTACAGTTAATGACTTTAATGAGCAGAAGAATAAAATTAGCTTTTACGGGTTCTAATTGAATTTTGGCTTCCAGCTATGATGTTTTTGCTTTTCACTAAAAATAGTGCACTTTTAAACTAGAGAAGGAAATAACAAAATGCCCAAATTATTAAAAGGGAATTGGTGGGATTGGCATCATTTTGTCTCACAGCTTCTGGTTCTTCGCGGTCCCTCGTTATAAAAGCAGGGGAGTCCTCAAGTTCAGTGTTCCTTGGTGTGACACAGCCCGCTACACGCGCCGCTCCGTGTCACACCCCAGCGAGACTGTCATTTACCTCTCGATCAAAAAACACGTGCTTCTGATATGCTAGCGGGAATTTTCTAGATCCAAGCCTCTGGATTTGCAGGTGGCGGCAGAGTCCATGCCTCTCCATTAGCTTCTCTTTCTGTCATTGCCAAGAAATGTGGAAGGAAGGGTCTGTGTGGCCAGGGCAGTCGGTCAAAGCCTATTGTGTCTAAGTTTCTGAAGCACAGCACATTTCTTTAAATCAGTATTTCTCAACTCGGGGCGATTTGCCCCAGCCCCACCTTATCCCACCTCACCCCCACCCCCCAACCCCCGGGCAGGGCTGCCACAATTTCAAAACAGACAAAAACAAGGACCGAAAGTGGCCAGCCGGCCGGGGCTTTCCCCGTTGGTCATAGGCCGAGGCTGGGCTGGCGGGGGGACCGGCTGGCTTGCTCAGGAGCCCGGTGCAGGCTTTGGTGGCTTTGGGATGGGGCGAGAGAGCAGACGAGGTCAGTGTTGTTGCTGAGCTGAGCGGTGCAAAGCCTTGGCGTGTTGCGGGGCCGGGGGCCGAGGGCGGAAGGCAGCCACCTGCAGCTGTCCTTGGAGCCTGCAGGGAGAGTGGGGTGCTTTGTGGTCCTCCCAGGGTGTGTTCATTTGTGAGCCACCCGTGGGGCCTCCTCACCGGACGTGGGCCTCGTCCCTGGGTTTGCTCAAGTTAGTGAAATATTCCGTTCACGGGGAGATAAAGCTCATTCACAGTCACCACTTCCCCTGACGTGCAGGGGTGCGGCCGCTGTGTTCCCCGCTAAGTACATGTCTTGCGCCTTTCGCTTCCAGGCCTTCAAGTTGGAGACCCCTAAGGACGACCGCTCCCACTGGCCCTGCCGACCCTGTGCCTCGGTAAGTTAGAGAAGGAGGTGCCCTGAAGGGGGCGCGTGTGCACATGCGCGTGTGCACGTGCGCGTGTGCACGTGCGCGTGTAGCCAATTGATCCCTGGAGTGGCCCTGAAGTGGGTCTCACCCCCGTGATCTGCGCCCAGCACTCCCTGGCAGACGCAAAAGTCCCATCTGCTTTGAGAGCCTGGCTGGCCGAGCCAGCTTCGGTGACATTGAAGGGACCTCGTGGTTACAGTTGGGCTTTAGCGCGTGCTGACGGGTTCGCTTAGAGGGACAGATACTTTTGTTATGGCGCGAACGATTCTGAGACCCACGGAGCCAATTGAGATTAATTATGAGCCTTTATTAGCCGGCCGGCGACTGACTCTCTACCACGCAGGGCTAGAGGAGATCAGCCCCGAGCTTTCAGAGGAGGCAGCTGATAAAGCCTAAGACCACACCCTGGTGGTCTCCTGAACAAGCCAGCAGATCACAGAAGCGGAAGTTGGCTGTTAGCATATCTTTGCCCGGAACAACACCCTTAATTAACAAGTAAATGGATCACAGAAGCAGACATTGGCCATCTTCATATCTTATACAATACACCTGCTAAACCACACACAAGCAAATAGGACAACTTCTGGTATCTGAAGATATTTCTTCCCTGTAGCTGACTTAGTTAGTTTGCTCACTTGAAAATTTTCCACCCTTAACACTTTGGCGTTCTCTCCCAGCCTGAGGGTATTTGCTAAGCGGTTCCCATGTGCCCAGAACCCTGGAACCCCGCTGAAGGGGACTAGGCACGTGGCCTCCCCTTCTGTTCTTTCCTGGAGGGAGGAGCCGGGGGCCCAGGGTGCAGCAGGGCTGCACCGGCTTTCGTTAGCAGACCCCTAAGTCCTGAGCCTCTTTGAGACGGATGTAGCAGTCCAGTTTAGATGTGCAGGGGTGACGTGTGACCCCGAGGCCTGTGTGCATGTTTGCCAGGTGAAGGAGGCCTCGCTAGCCATCGGCGGTCAGGTCCTGGGAGCACAGTGACAGCCAGCAGCTTGGTGGAGGGCACCAAATTGGGGGTGGCAGGGGTACCTGTTCATCGAGCCTCTGTTCTCCGGCCCATCCCACAGAGTGGCCTGCAGGTACCGGGGCCCCCTGTCCTGTCCTGCGGTGTCCCGGCCTCCTGTGTCCCGGCTTTTTGGGCTCCGTGCTGCCCACCTCTCACCTGCACCCACGCTCGCCCTCGGGGTCCGTCAATGCGTGAGTGACAGGTCCCTTCACGTGATCAGAGCTCCACCCGACAGCCTCTTGCTGCTGCTGCTTTGGAGTTGGAGTCATCTGTCCTGTAAAGAGCAGGGCCCAGACATCGCGTCCAGAGTCACGGTTATAGCTCGCAGGTGCCGCCCCTGTGTGGCAGTCACCGCTAACAGTGTGCCGATCGCTGCTGTTTGGGGACAAACGTTTGGGGACGTGTGTAGAACTGGTGCCACCCGATGCCAGCCTCCTACGTTGTATGTTTATAGTCGCGACTTGTTTAGAACGATGTTGCTTAAATGCGTGAACCGGCCGCTGCGGCACCCCCTTCGCGTTCAGGTTGAAGTAACCCTTAGTGTCGCTTTAGAATTAAGTGCTTTATTACGAGCGCTGATATGACAACTGGGAGCATAAATACACACGCAGCAGCTCCCCGCGGACCAGCTCCCCGCGGACGAGGCCTCTCCTCTCCAGCATTCCGAATCAACAGAAGTTTGTTTGCTTTTTTTTTGCTCGTTATTGATTTAATACACAGCTTATGGTTTCGACCGTTAAATTGTTGCGAGGTACTATTGTGGGCAAAAGAAAATCAAGCTATATTGTATCCTAAGTTGAGCTCTCAGCGTATTCCTCTCCTCGTGATTATTAACTGGCCGTGGACTCTGGTGGGGCTCAGAGGACTCTCCCCGGCTGGGGTACGGAGCCCCAAGGTGCAGCCTGCGGCAGCCGCATAGGGCCGTGGGCGGCACCAGGAGCCTCGTGATCTGCGAGGCACATTGCGTCGCACACAGCACACGCGTGGCCTCCACGGTGCTTTGCTTCTGGGGAGAGTGGCTGAGGGTCGCAGGCCGTCAGCTGGCCCTCTCCTGAAAAAACAGTTTGGGGAGGTTGCAGACGAGAATCAGCGTGGTCATCTGGGGTGCGGGCCTCAGCGTTCCACCACCCCCGAGGGCCGGGACGAAGACGGGAAGCGGAGAATGACAAGCGGGAGACATCGCACTCTTCAGGACCAGCGACAGCCCCGGGGCACCCAGTCCGAGGAGCTCACATCTGCACAGTTCCAGGCATAGGACTCACGTCCCTCCAGAGGCAGGACAGACACAGCGACACCGGCCGGATGACACCGTGCTGCGCCCCCCGCCCCGCGCGCTGGCGCTCAGCAACGCCGAGGTGAAGCGGACGCCTGTTTGTGACGAAACCGCGCCTCTCAAACGTGACGTCTGGTGCACACCCGAAACGACGTGCCACCAGGTCATCAGAGAAATGGAGACCCAAACCGCGAACGTGGTGTGCGTGCAGCTCTGGGACGGCTAAAATGACACAGGCGGCCGGGAGGTCGCGTGTCACGGTGGCCGTAACTCTGGGAGACGTTTACTGTCGTCGTCGTGCGTGTGGGCTCCGGGCTGAGCGCTTTCTGAGCCCCTCACCGTCTGGCTCTCTTCCCGCCCACGCGGGGCGAACCTTACTATCTGCGCCGCACAGAGGAGGACGCGGGCCGGGGGTGCGCGTTCGGCCCGTGCTCGTGCCGGGGGCCCCTGCTGAGCCCCGAGGGCGGGCGCGTCCGTCCTGGCGCCCTGCGTTCGTCGTGCTGCTGTCCTGTCGTGCGGCGAGCCAGCTCTGCAGCAGGGAGCACTTGCTGTCCCGGCTGGTTCTGCAGACCACGGGGCTCTGGGACCCCAGCACGCCTGGGAACCATGCCGAGGTGGCCGCCAGGCCCCTGGGCGGGCCGTGCAGCCCTTCACTCGTCACCCCTTTGCTGACACACAGGAGACCGGGTGGCCTCTGCTGCGTGGCCCGTTCCTGCAGTCTTCCACTGGTTTTTCTGGCCGTTCTGAGATGGTTTTAAGGTTTCCTTCCTCCTCCTCGTGCACCGACGTTGGAACGGGCCTCTCTCCTCCCTCTGCGCCGTGTGCGAGGCCCGGCCTCCCCTCCAGGCTGGCCGTGCATCTCGCTCTCTGCAGCAGGAGGGCGTGGCAGGATGGGGTGCGAGGGACCCTTCTCAGCCCCCGGGAAGTCGTCCGCCTCCCTGCAGAATCTGGCAGTCACCCTGTGGGGCCAGGTCCCCGCGGGGAGCAGGAGGGTGCAGGGCGGGTTCCAGGGTGACCAGGACTAAAGGAGGCGGAGCTGGCCCGCGATGTTTTGGTCTTTCGTGCTGAGCACAGGCAACGCCCCGACCACTGGCCCCCCCCGTTTGGTGGATCCTGCAGCGCTATGGGTCGGAGGGGTCTCTCTCCGCCTCTTCTGGGGACTGTGCCTGGTCCCGCGCCCCTGCGCAGTGTGCCGAGGCTCTGGGTGAGGCCGCTCCACACCGCTCACCCCGCCGTGCCGGCCCAGGCCCTGCCGGCCTTAGTCCAAGGCCACCTCCTTGGGCTCAGGGGGGCGGCTGCACCTGAGCTGCGGTCACTGAGAGAGGCCCCATGAGCGGGTGGCTCTGAGGGGTCCCCATTCTGGACGTGGTGTGGGGGCAGGGCCAGGGGCTCGGACTTCGACCCGCCCGCTCGTGTGTAAGGAAGGCAGAGTCCTGCATTGTAAGCCTTTTTCCTTAAAACACACATCGGCGTTCAGGGTGGTTGATCAGGCTGCTGTAAGGCCCGGGAGACGAAGGGTGGGGCCTTCACGAGCAGCGAGGTAATTCCTTTCTCGAACACAAACATAAGCTGTGAAAGCGATACACACGTTCGTAAAACTTCAAGACGACCAAATCTAATAAGTCACCAAAGTCTCCTCCCCTCCCGCAGCCCAGACCCCACGCTCCCTGGCGGGACCTCCTGTGAGCAGTGTGCGGTCTGCCTCCTGGAGCCCGGGCACACGGGAGAGCAGACCGGCACGCACACGGCTTGGGACACACGCACGTGCCCTGGCATACCCGCGCGGCCTGACGCGAGCCGTCTGGTCTTTTCAGACACACAGATCTACCTTGTTTCGTAAATGCAACTTGCTATTTTATGCGTGTCCCATGGAGCGTGCATGGCTACGTGCACGGGCACACACGTGCACACACGGCTGCGAAGCACGGTGACGGTCCTCAAGCCCCGATGAGCAAGCACTTTGTGAAGACTGCTTTGCCTTTGAGACTTAGATGTGTGTGTGCCTCGCAAAGCCGGCGGAGTTACCACGCCTGTTCCCGCACGCGAGGCCGGCTGGGGTCGTGAAGAGGGTGACAGACGATGGCCTTGGAGCTGTGGCGTCAGCACGCCCCGCCCTGCCCAGGGGCCGCCCTGCTGGAAGGTGGACTCTGCCTCCTGCTGCTAGGGATCAGCTGTCTGGCTCTGTCCCTGGCCGGGGTGTCGGTGAGTTTGCAGGGGTGCCGGGGAGGGTCCTTGCAGACGGTGGCCTGGGCCAGGTTCCTTTCCCACCAGGGAGTGTGTCTCTGGAGTGCTCCACGCTGTCTTCCTCCCGCTGGGCTGCACAGAAGGGGCCGTGTGCACGCGGGTGCGCGTGCCTCTGTGCACTGGCCACCAGCAGAGCCGCCTCCCTCCAAGCATCCGGCGTGTAGGCTCGGCCACCGACAGCCGTGCCCCCGCCCTCGGACTCTGCCTGGCCACGAGGCCACCGTGTTGGGGCACCGTCTTGTCTCAGACCCTGCCCGCCCGGCAACTCCTTATCTCTTGGTGTCTAGAACTAAAAATCGGAGCCATTGAGCGGCCGTGCCTCTGAGCACCAGATGCCACGTCGTGTGCCGTCGGCTTGGCTCTGTGCCGAGGGCTCTGGTTGAAGCAGGAGTGTGGGGACAGGCCCCGGGAGCAGCGTCATGGGTAGCCCCGTGAGCTGTCCGTGCA